GAGAGCGGATCGAAATGGAGCACCGAGCGAGAATACTATCATGGAATTATAAACATCCAATTATCTGGCATCCAAATACTCACGGGCAAACCAGAATGGTATCCTATTTCGGCTGCATACCCGGTAGGTCAATCTATCCAAATTGGGATTTGGGGATACTTTGATGTGATGATTATCCATTCGGGTGGGAACATGCATGAGATTTATAAGCTTTGATCTGGTAAATCAAAATTAAAATATTTAATTTTCATCTGAACTAAACGTAGCTGAAGTGATCTATCAAACCTATGGCATCATAAGCAACAACCCCCCTCCCGTTTCCTCCAAACAGGTGATTCGTATCAAAGCGGATCTGTTAGTTTCTCTTTGTCAACGCCCATTGGAAGGACTTATCAGTGTCGGTGTTCACGAGATACGGAATATCGAACTGCAAAAGCAAGGACCTTACAGTATTGGCGATTTGGATCAGCTGACACACATGGAACAAAGTGAGTGCGATATCATGTCCTGTTGATTTCATCCATTACCAACTCTCTTATGAAGGTGAGGAATTGTAGCCCAGAAAGAGATGTACACATTTATAGGGAGATGGGATATTAACAACAGTAATATTAAATAACGAAATATGATGATTCATTTGAGGAGACCGAAAGGATCCATCCCCGGTTGATTAGTTAAAGATAAGAGAATGTGAACTGTTGATTGTGACGACCCTAGTTACACTGCATTTTCCTATGTGTTTATGTGTCTGGTAGTTTTCAACTGACCAATGAATATTTTGTTCACACTGAGCAACTACATGTTCGCGTTCGAGACGAGTTCTGTCAGGTTAGATTCAAGTAACTGCTTTATGCACCCCAGTAGCGCGATGTTTTTAGCTTTTCCGCAATATATGTGAAAGTAATTGCTAGAGACGGACGCTATTTGAGAAATTTTGAGATAAGTTTAGATAAACTAACCTAACAGTTACGCAATTTACGGATGCCCTTCTTTAGACAGATAAACAGATACACTAATGAGAAGGCAAGTTGATGACATGCAGTGAATGAACGTGTAAATACGGTAGTATGGTGAGTAAACGTTCGCTATGCACAATCTGACAGTAGTGTGAATATGATATACGTAGGTGAATATCGTATGTGCCAAGTTGCTATTGTGATGTCATAGCATTTTGTGATTCTTTCACCGATCTTACCGCAGACTGAAAGTTACATATCAACACAATGTAGAGCCTGATTGTGACATAGTACAAACAGCAGGTAATTGATGCAAATAACTGACAACCAACATGTTGTAAATTTGTCTTACCAGAGCTATAAATGAGACATTAGAATGTTTTCCACATTTAAAGTTCATTGAGCTGATGTGGACAGCGATTCGTTCTAGGATATTGATATAAGTATAGATGAGTTAATTCACAGACGGTAATATTGGGCGATATATTTAAAGGACTCTGCATAGCCTCCCCGTGAACTGAGGGAATCGTGAGAATAATGACGACACGACGTAAATTTTTTCATGGTTCTCATAATTCCATTGCGAATGTTTTCTGTTGTATTCAGCCCCTTAAAAGAGAAATCCACCCATTACTTTTACATGCATCAAACGTTATAAACAACCAAAATATATTGGACATTTCACATGGATATGGGGGAATATCCTACCGCCTGGTATTTATGGTCAAGTCAACCTGGTGCCAAAATTGCAGGAAGTCACGAGAAGGGTTGTGTTCATTTGCTTTTTTACAAGAGGTTGGTTACTGTGATTGTAATGAAGACGAAGGGTCTCTACTGGTCTATCGGACACAGCTTGGGAATATTTCTTGAGGAAGCATTTGAACAATATTCTAAATGACGACGAGGTATCGATGCATGTCTAATAGTTACTGTGCCAAAAGTAAAGTGCTAAAGCTTCGGTCTGTATTCGATCAAAATTCGCAACTAATAAGATGGTGACTTAAGCCTAGATTCTGAGCGATGTTAGTTTCAACTTGGGTGTTGTTTTCTAAATCTATCAAACATCTTCATGTGAGGCTCGACCAGATAAACTAAAAAATTGTTTCGGGACGTTCTTGGTTGCTTTCCCTCCGGTCGTAATTTTTTGCATGTCTTTTTTCGGATATGCTCAGCGTGGCACAGAGTGAACATTCTGTGATGCGAACACAGTGCAACTCATCCAAAAAGAATATAATTGCCAAGACAAATAAATAATTGCCTGTTATTTGGCAGATTTGAAGTTTCTATGTTGATTGTGAAAACTTCGGTATCCTTGGCACGATTTGAACCCACGCATGGACAACGCATACGCGTTCGTGCGCACATGCTTTACCAGCTGAGCTACGAGGCCACACCGATGGCACTGATCTTTTCACAATCAAATTACCTATCCCACTTAGAGAGGCATATGGCATCCACCAGTTTTCATGCAAGCTGACTGCCCCGACAGGTTTTCCTTAGTAGAGTGTGGCCTCGTAGCTCAGCTGGTAAAGCGTGCGCTGTACAAAAGCGTAGCTGGCGTCTATGAGTGGGTTCGAATACCACCGAGGTTACTGAACTTTTCACAATCGACATACAAATAAATATTTGAACGGAACAGTTCAGGTATAGTTTCACGGGCGCTTTATATATATATATATATTTCAGGTGGATTCATTGCTGCATTAAACCTTTCACCCAGTGAATGAAGAGGGATGCGAACATCAGAGGTGATGTAATTATTTCTTACTGCATAGACCAAGGAAACAGACCACAGAGGTTGACCTCTTGATGCTATTGAGTGCTGGTGGGCAAAGCAGACATAAGCAAATTAAACTTTAGGCAATTCTGTAAGAAAAATATTTCAGAAAGTGTTGCACTCCCGATCAGAATTGGATCATTCAACACGGACGTAACGCTAAGGACCAATAAATCAATTTATCAGCTGTCTGAAAAAGTCTACTGCATAAAACCATAAAAAACACATCTACAATTTATCGATGTTTGCAACTTCATTCCTGCAGCAGTTGAACGAGTGAATAACGTACCGAAATCTTCGTCTCCTAAGTGAGACCTTACTTATGCTCGTACATCTACCTGACATTCGATACGGGTATACAGTTCTCACGCATGATGTACACTTTGCGCTAATCCTTTCAAATTCTTGAATAACAATATACTTCAGGGATATTTGCGTCAGTCATAATTTGGACGGATATTTGTAATAAATACTCAAATTGGTTTAGCCAAAAACGTCCCGAAGCCTAAAAACCCAGTGGTTCTAAAATGTTTTCCGTTTTATTTTTCCCTTAGGCATCACCTAATCAACAGCTGCTCGTGCGCAGGGATGTTCGCTGAAAGACACTGACTCAACTGAAGCATTTGTCTGAAGAGCTTGACTCAATAAAAACGGTCCCATTTATATATATTTCGATAAAGGAATAGTTTTAAACGAACAGTTTACCGGGAATCGAAATATTCAGACATTAGAACTGAATAACACAGGATCAACAACAAAGGATTCATTGACTTTCAATGTATCTAAAGTTTCGTGTGACTTCTGAGCATAGATTGATGCCTGCTGATCAATGCTGGTGCAAAGAACCTTAAGGGACCCCGAATTAACTTCCTATTTACGGTATTCCATGTTGGAATATTCCTAAAAGGGTCAGTAATTACGCCTTGGAGTGATTTTGTGATGGAAATGAAGTAACTTTTATCCTCAATGAGGGACTTGACGCAATAATAGGATAATGTTAGCAAACGGTTTTTTCTTGTGAATCTTATTTCAACAATATAGTCTTGTTTTGCATATTTTTCGTCCTATGTATACCCATACTCGCAATTGAAACACAATTTCAGGCGAACAGTTGTTTTCAGTAACTCAGAATCATGCCGTTAAGTTTATATGGGTGGAGAAAACCTGAGGGTTGGGAGGAGAATAATAAGATGTGATGAATCATTCACTTCGTGTATACGTGTGTGTATGGGTGTGTGTTGTATTGGAAGATGAACTCAAATTTTTAAATCCAACGTGCTCAGAGGCAATGGCTACCCCGACCGCTTTACTCAACGAAATATGATGGAACAGGCCCCAAAAGTGGAAAAGAAGGACCTGTTCATTAGTTTCCGTCTTTTTGAATGAAGTTGCCGCTGAAACCCTCATAAGACACGATTAAATGGAGCGGTAAAAGCCACATTCAACGCGGTACACCTAAGCTGCTCTTTCAAAAGTCCGCCACTGATAACCATACGGAATAAAGATAAACTACCGATATTGACCGCTTCAATGATTGTTTACTCGTTAGGATGCGTTTTTGATGCATTCTACATCGGTCGTACGACAGTTATATATCCGCATGAAAAAACATCATCTGTGCCGGCTGAGTCGAGGTGGTTCTCGTTCTATCACAAGTGCGATTCTCGCTCACTGGGCAGACACTGGTCACCGTGTTAACCCCAGCGAAGCATTATACATTATTTATCAGGTCCCCCCGAACCGGTCCAAATACGTTAGAATGCGCTCGTTAGTCATAGCCGAGGCCATTTGTATTAAGCATTTGATCCCCGAACTATGTGCCCAGAAACGTCTTGTCCAAGCTATCCATCTCCCCTGGGTTCGCGAACCCACTCCTCCTCCATGCCTCCCTTGCCCGCACACGCAAGCATTTTCACACAGCAATACTGACACTTCGGAACTGGGTCACACGGCCGTCGTAACTGAAAAACCCCAAAAGCACAGATCTGAGAAGACGGCGTGTAACACACACAAACACAGACACGCATACACGAAGTGAACTGTTCCTCACATTTTATTATTCTCCTCCCAACCCCTAGTTTTTTCCCCTAATATGAACTGTAACGGCATGATTATGAGTTATTGAAAACAATTGTTCGCCTGAAATTGTGAACTGTTTATTCTCAGAAAGACGAAAACTCCTAGACTATTTTTACAACTGATTAACCAACAGTTGTTGAACATCACTCCATTCCACGTGCACAAAGTGTATATATATATATGTCTATATACTTCACATTTTTAGTGTGATGAACAGCAGACGGGGTAAACCCTGTCGTCTAGAGGACCAGTGGTTCTTTGATACAAACCGGTAATCCAAGTCCCAAGACTTAGATTATCAAAACCATATGAGGCTCAACTGTTTTGGGAGTGGTATTGAATGGACGACAGCAAGGCTGCCTACCATCAAACTATGGAATACATAACGAAATGGATTCATATATAATTCAAAAAGCTCAATCTTCGAAATTTCCCACAACTCCGTTGATAGAACACCAAACACAAAAATTGCTGCCTTCTAAATTTATCACAAGCATATCTCCTAGTTACTTGCCCCCAAACACCAAATGAAAAATTGTACAAGCAATAAAACGAAGCAGCGATTTATTATTATTATTGGTAGTAGAAGTGTCACAACAAAAACAAATAAATCCAACAATTTCTTTAACATTCATTTACTTCGACTGGGGTATAGCCAACAAATGATTCTCGTTGCTTACCCCTTTGACATTTCTCACTTGTGATGAATATACCCAATGGAACAGGTTTTAATGACGCTGCTCACCGTCGAGTTTGCTTAATGCATAATCCTATGGAAATCAATCCTCCAAAGTAAATAACAAAAAATAAAATTTTGAATGAATCTGATTGATTTACTGGAGTACGTTCATTGCATCAAACACAGCTCAATGTATAACTATTATGAATGTTTTTACCAATAACACTTATATGCATATATAAATAGTTTTATTTTTCATTTTAGGTGGTTTTGAAATTCACGCATGCCTCACATACGATGGTCAACTGATAAAGTCGAAGAAAAGTGTATTTCTACAACAACCAAGGAACAACCTGCTGCCGAGTAAACCACAAACGAATGTGGAAAAAAGACTCTCTGTCTCTAGTACCCGACACTTGATGTCGTTCAGCCGAACCGTGAGCGGCGAGCACTATTTACAGTTCACTATACCCCATTCAAAGAAGAATATTGGTAAGCACGTGCTGTCGAACTACGGGATAGTCTTGTTCGTGACCCACAAACTCGCGTTGACGGATCAGCTCCCGGCGGATTTTGTCAACCAGTTGAAATTGATCGGTGCTCCTGAACTGAAAAGTCTACAAGCTGTTGGGGACTGTTTTATTGCGGACGAGTCGACTCAAACCGATTACTGGACCAAGGTTTCGTTTAACGTTAAATGTGATTCTCAGTGTGCATCGTTATGGAATGAGGCAGCAAGTCACGGATCCAGTCGGGTGTATCAATGGCTGACCACCACATAATGAGTAAAACGACGGGTAATCCAGAGTATCGATCGGAGTATTCCGGTTACTAGAATCTAAGCATCCATTTCGGAATTAGTCTCCCCCATAAACTACCAGACTAACAAGCTGCGAAAGCCGTAACCAGAGGATCTATACCTTCATCTTTCACCACGTTCCTCAATGAATAAACAACATCCGTCAAAAATGATTTCATTGTATGTCCCGACCAGAAGATTCCTCCGGCTCTGTCTGTCTGCCTGTCTGACCAAAAATCATGTTTGTCATCTTCTGGAGCTGATTGTCCGGTTTCTCGACATGCTCTCAACTGAATGTTCATTTGTCGTATACGTATACGTATATGAAAATAACCATCCCTCCACTCGCGCGCGCCAGTGACAAATCCAATTGACACTACATCAACGCTACATAGAATGTTGTCCCTTGTGCTGTCGCGTTAAAACACATCTGTAGCACTTATTTTGACCCCGTTTGTGTGTGTGCGTGATGTTGTGTTATCAACTCCAAAACCGGACTACACGCTCATCAATCCGGCGGTTAACATCCCGTCCCATGTGTTTCGTCCTGCTACATGTTTTGACAATAGAACCCTCCTGTGTGATAGCGCTGTGCTAGTTTTACGTGCTTGATCAGTTTCTGATAAATTCCCTGGCGTTCCCTAGAGAAGTCATCATCAAGAAAACCTTTTTTATCAGTGTGGGTAACAATCTCCTAGATGATTGATTCAGTATGGTTTGTATATCGTACGACAGACTTATGTGCATTGACTGATTATTATTATTATGTTTTCATTTCATCGCCGGGTAATTGTTAACTTATTTTTTACTATTTTTTTCTCATCAACCACTTACGATTCATAATCAATGCGCATTGAAAATAATGCATTTGGAACCGGCTCACATTGCCGAGAGAATCCAGTTTGTTCAAGTTTTCATTATTTGACGGATTTCGGAAATTTTTTAATTTGATCCACTTCGGAAAATATCAACAATCCCCAGGGGCATCGAGGGTATGCGTGGGCACAGCCTGTCTTAAAACAGAGTTAACTCAATAAGCTTTGAGGTTTGAGACCACACCTATTTGGCAGTGTGCCATCGGACTTATCCATAAGTCCTAATTGGGTTACTAAGTAATGAACTGCAGGAAGATTAGAGGATATGATGCAACCTCGTAACCCAAGTAGAAGACTATGAGCTGTACCTGCGCGTAGGCTTCATCTCTGCATAGGTTTGAAACCGTCCCAGATTCCTGATACTTCGACAATTCTATGAACCTATAATATTTGTGTCTTCTATAACCATTGGAAAATTACAGCATAACGATTTACTGCTCAGCTGGTATGCTAAAATTCAATACTTTGTGTACAGTCCTTTTCGTTAACTTCTACAAACAGTAATGGCGTCCACAAAAAACGATATTGAATGAATTTGTATTCTGCTAGAAATTTGATTGACGACTATCTTAGGGGCTTTTCTGTTTTAGCGAACGTAGTTGATGTTACGCTTTTTTAATCCATAAACGAGATTCTTCTTTTGATCGCTGTAGATGACAAGATACGACATGAAAACTTGTTGGGTTGTATTGCCCTAATTATTCCCAATTGCAGAACCCTCATTCAAAGACCGATTATCAACTGTGTGTGGTTTACAGTGTGACTCCATTTTTCAGAGCGATTTGCAGACCAACAGGATCTTTTGGGTCTGTGGGCGAGAAATGTGAATCTAGAGAAAACAATTTTCCTGATTGTGGTACACAATAGAAGTAGTTTTGAAAAAATAGACAAATATTGTCACTTTTTTCGGAACAGATCCATTCATGGAGAATAACATGTTAAAAGGCAGAGAGGGTACAATTTATTCTTAGTCCAATTTCGCATGCCTCAGATAACTGTGGCACGTGAAATGTTTTTGTGAAACCTCAAGTTCGTTTCACGGTTAACGATTGGACGCATTGTATTAATTCCTGGGTTTTGGAATTCACCTGGAACCTCTCCTGAAGGGATGACTGGTAAATCGAATCAATAGATAAACGTCTATATAAGCAGAAAACTATTTCTGTTTGTGTGTGGTCCACTATGAGCATTGAACAGCTGATCCGTTCCGAGTAAGCTTTTTTTCTTTGGCACACTCGTTTAAGGATGTCGTCATCGATCTTGTTGCTCAGGCGATGTTATTTTGATCCTCAACTCGAAGCATCGCGATTGGAGTTCCACTGTTCATGAGTCCGAATCAGGGCAAACGGCCCACCAGTGCTTTTAAAGTGAAATGAAATGCGACAAATCATCGAAATCCTCATGGATTGTGAGTCACATTAGATCACACAGAACACACCCTGGAGTCTGCGTAGTCGCAAACACAAAACCGGAACAAAACTTACTTAGGCAATGGTGCATACATTTAAGTGTTCTTTTGGAAAACGCCTACGGTTAAAAAAAAGTTTTTAATTCTAAAGTGTGATAATGAAAAGTGTTCCTTTATTATCACAAAAATGTCATACAGTTCTGTTGCAAACAAGGTAGAATTACGAACATTATAATGCTCAGCAAGGTGTATTCATATTTTCGTCGGAAGGAAAATTATTCTTGTGCAAAGCGAATTTGCATTACAGACTACCACGGATTTAATCCTGAAACTGCATGCGGTTCATAACGCGTACGTTGTGTGTGGTTCGCGCATTCACGCGCGTCTTTTTCATACCCAGACCATGAAGGACTGTGTGCATCTGTTTGCGTGTGTATGTGTGTAAATGGGTGGTTCATGAGAGCTTGGACGTTTGTACA